GGGGGGTGGGGAAAAAAGAAACGTAAAATATAGCAATTACATTACTATAAGACCTGCACCCAGCACCAGGCATTCGTGTCCATCACGGGAGGATGTGCTGCTGAGCCTGGCTGGCTGTGGGGGAGCACCCTCCTGCTTTCCACAGGCACAGAGCAGGGAGCAGCACTGCCCAGAGCAGCCAGGTCCACTCCTACAGGTCAGTATCCTGACAAGGGGTCAGTGGAAAATCGCTGCTCAGGCTCCTTGTCCTCCAGCCACGCCTCCTTCCCTCTCCGTCACCCCCAAATGCTGCTAACATTTCTTTTAAGAGAAATTTAAAGTCCTAGTGAGCTCCTGGCACAGGGCCTGGCAGCTTGGCAGCACTTGCTGCCCCCCCAGGGACAGTGTCCTCCCTGCTGCTGGGCACAGCTGAGCACCAGCATCTCTGCTGGCACCACCAGCATCCCAGGAAAACTCATCTGCCTCCAGAAAACACAAGCAGCAGCTTTTAGAGGATGACGGTGTGGTCCAAAACACCAAAATCTGGCCCTGTCCACCAGGAGGGGACTGAGCTCCCACTGTGCCACTGCCCACACCTGCTCTGGCTTCCTCCCAGCTGCATGGCCACCCAAACCCCAGTGGCCCGGGAACAGGGGCTCTCTTGCCCCAACTGCCACCACTCCAGCTGCTGGGATCTTCACAGGGCACCAGGCTGCCCTCTGCCCCCTGGCCGGGACACAGCCACCGGGACTGGAAGCTACTGGCAAAGGTCACCTGGCCCCAAATAAGCCCAGCAAAGCAGTGGCCAAGCCGTTGGAGCACCGCCAGCTCCCCTGCTCACTGCTGCCAGTGAAAGGAAAACAACCTGCTAAAGGCATAGGGAGCTTCCCGGGCATCGCTGCACTGGGTGGGAGCAGGGACAAGCTGCCCCACCGTCCCCAGGATACAGGATCACTGCCAGGTCCCCTTCACAGCGACCTTTGCCTCTGCACTGCCGTCCCCAGCGCCACCCCCGTAATCTTCCTGAGAAGGGAACTGCTGGGAGCCAAAAACATCACCCAGATGGGGAGGGGGGCTCCTCGCCCAGTATTGCACCTGGACACCCCCACTGTGATGGGCCTGGATCTGCCGCCACTCCCGGGAGTGCCCAGCACAGTACGGCCACCAGCCATGGTGGCTCTGGGTGCCACGGAGCTCCCAC